TTATGGTCCCCAATTCATGTGTGATTTTCTCATTCTTTGTGGCATCCCATCAACACAAGAATACAAGAGAAAGCATATGAAGAGGAAGATCCATAAAACCCACAATCAGGAATTAAGATGGAGATTTGAAGCAATCAAATTGAAGATTTACAGATCCAGATTCAAGATTTATTATTCAAGTCAGAAATCAATTGATTAAGGTATGTTCCGCGTTAATTCAGTTTCTTGATGGTTTGACATGAAGATCTTGACAAGATCATAAAGTTTAAGGTTTTAATAAAGTTCTAACACTGCAGCCTCCTCCAAAGAGCTCATCTACTTCTGCTGCATTAGACCACGAGAAACCAACTCAAATACGGATATTTGGATTTATGCAAGTAGACTAGATTCTCTAATGATGACTTTAGAAGATGATTCAAAGATGGTTAGAATATTAGGGGCAACGGACCCTTAAGAATCCGACTATCCATTAATCTAATTTAAATCACTAACTTACATTATTAATTCTAATTAAAGAACTTTGTGACAATGGAGGATCATAATTTATTTAGCTACTAAAGTTAGACCTACTTTCATATATCATACTCAAATAAGTCTGCTAAGAATTCAAACATACAAAAGTGCATGAAGACTCAAGAAGTTGTGTAAAGACTGCATAAAATTTATTATTGTGCTAAACCTATTTTCAACATTTCACAAGTAGAATGACTTATAAATATGTCTAAATCACTTAAACATAGCATAAAAATCCATTAATAAACAATCACAAGACCAATAATTTGAAATCAAAACGAGAATTTTGAATCAAGATATTATAACAAGGTTTATATCATCATCCTTGTTTAGAGAATTCTAGTCGAGCATCTTCAAATTACAAACACAATAAATGAACTAAGAATGCATCATCTGAAATTAAATTAACAAGAATAATTTAAAAGAAGTAATCTTGAATTCCTTCAATTTCTCTTAGGGTGTGCTTGGGAGTTTTTTTTTTTTTTTTAACCGATTTTGATCGATTTTGGGTGGCACAACATATGATGTATTGGTAAAATTGGGGCTTGCTAATTTTTTTGGATACCGATTTTGGATGGCTTAAAAACAACTAAAATCGATGTAATATAATTTTGACTGATTCTCTCAACACATCAAATTGACGAATTTTAACAGTTTCTTATATTCTCTTCTAATTTTACTTTTATAAAATAATTATTTTCAACCAACTTATTTTGTTCAAAACTAATTTGTAAATAAAAATATATTAACTAAAACAATTATTTATGAGCAAAAAAATTACATTATAATTAAAAAAATATTTTAAGTAAAATATTACTTATAAAATTAAAAAAATCACTTTTGTATAAAAAATTATTTATAAAGTAAAAATACAACTAATAAGACAAATATTCACTTATAAAATATAAAAAATTACTTAAGTAAAAAATTCAATTATGTCTAAAATTATTTAAAAGTACAAAATTAACTTATAATTTAAAGTTTACTTATAAGTAGAAATTATTAACTTGTAATTGTAAAGTACAAAATTATAATTTTAAGTAAATGTTTAATATAATTTTAACTTTTTATGTTAAATATTAACTTCTATGTAAAAAAAAAATTATTTATAAGTAAAATATCACTTATGAGTATTAAAAATTCATTCAAGAAAGTACAATCTGAAGACTTCACTGAATGACATATATGTAATTTTATTTTTTAAAAATGCTTTCAGAATCGATAAATAAAACTTTCAAGCATGAGTTGGACTTCTAAAAACTACCCTCAAAATTGATCTGTTGATAAACTTTTAAAATCGATACTTTAAAAAACGTTGATAATCTGTACCCAAAACTCGAAAGCCAGATCCTAACTGTTTAAAATTCTCTAATCCATTCCATTCATTTGGTGGCAGATATCATTATGGAGAAATCATATTCTTCACAGAATAAGAATATAAACACAGCAAAAAAAATATGGTTGGAATTTGGAAATCAAGAAAAGGCATTTCGGTTGACATTCTTGGGCAAAATACCCCAGCAGTGGATTTGTGTGAAGAATTTATCTGAAAATAATGACTTCTGATGTCAGAAGTATCTCAATGCGTATTGGATTCTTGGTACAAATTTCACTGCATATGCATGAAATAGAATCCTTTGCGTAGAAATTCTGCTAACGGGTGCAAAAACGCCCAAAATAGGATGCGTGCGGTGTGCCTAACACTATCTTTTTAAAATTAAAAGCATATAAACGTTCACGTGGTGTTTTAGCCGACTAGGAGTCACAATAACGTTTTACAATTTTAGTGGACAATATTTGTCGATCGTGTCAGAATTCACACATATTTCTTGATTAACGTCGATGCTTTAAAATAACTGAATATTCAAAAACAATATTTGAAATAATCTCTCAATATGTAATAGTTGAATCAGCTCAGCTAGTCAAGTTTATAATTGAGTTGAAAATTCGACAAAATTATTTGTATCTTATATTGCTAACCTGGCACAAACTACTACTTAATATATGTGAAGTTTTTCGTTGGTTCTGATCTTATGCAATATTGACTTCTCTTGTCAAATCAATTTATATCTTCATATGCTGGTAGACGTTGTGCCCACATTTATTCACCAATCATTCGTTTTAATTTCTATTTCGTGCATGGATAGTTCACGGTCTATTCATATATAATTCACTTCTTGAATTGTGTTTATTGGATCATATGATGATCCCGTACATGTCTCACGTTCTTCTATGTGTTAATGAATTATAACTAGGTTGTCGCTTCACTTTCTTGTAGGAAATCTTCGACGAGGACAAATATCTAAATTGAACGTGAAATGAAGAAAGAGAAAAAGAATCAGAATGAGAAAAAAATGGGTACCAAACTGGAGTTGTTGGCATGTTGCATAAAGAATACCATTTCAAGAAAATGTCTTTATATATGTATGTATGTATGTATGTATGTATGTCTTTAATATATATTTGGCTAATTCGAGTAGTTGGAAAATAGGCATAACTTACTTCACCTCTTCATAGTTACATATGCGAGTCGAACTATCCTCTTATATCAACTTGTGTCTTTTGTGCAACATATTTCCTTTGTTATTTGTATCGATCTTGTTCGGCACATTTTTTTATCCATAAATTAGGAAATGAAAACCCTTTTTCCATTTTGTTTTTTCCAGAGCAAAAAAAAACAAAAAAAGGCTTGAATTAAATGAGATTCTCCTTCCCAAACAGGGAGAAGATTCTCTCTCACCTCTCTCCTCCTTCAACCCAGGGATCACCTATATAAAGCCTCTCCTTTGCACCATTCAACTATCTGAGACAGTCTCTCTCTCTTCATCTAACCTTCATCAATGGCGCTTCGTAGAACATTTGGGAAGCGCCTCTTCAACGCCACCAACAGAGAATCTTCTTCTCCATCACTCACCATTCTCAATCACTCGCCTAAACCACCAAATGCTGCCAAAGCCCAATCCCACTCCCCAGACTCCGTCGCCGCCGGTTTCTTCCGCCGCTTCCTCCAGCGCAGATTCATCAACAACCACTCCTCCCCCTCCAACTTCCCCTCCTTCCTGCCCCTCCCCGTCGGTGACAAGCTCCGAGAGAAGCTGAAATCGCTGAACATAGTCGGAGATAACCGCCTCCGCCTTGATGGGCTGAGCCCACCGCTACAGACGGTGGAGGAGGAGGATGAGTTTGGTGTAAGTGTGAAGGATGTGAAGAGGGTGTTAAGAGCTATTGAGTTGGAGAAAGTTAAGGAAAGGCTGAGGAATATTCCGGCGAGTACAATTCCGTACGGCGAGTTCGTACGGATCTGCCATGACGTGTGTGGGAATGAAGAACTGGGGCTGCAATTTTCCAAGGCTTTGGATGAATCCGGAAACGTCATCGTTTTGGGCAACATCGTTTTCCTCAGACCTAATCAGGTATTAATGAAGAATATTCAACGTTAAGCCCTGTTTGATCGTCATTATTTGTCAAAGATAAAGTTTCAAACAGTAATTTTTTTAAGAATGCCCGATTAAAATGTAAAAAAAAACAAATTGTACCACACAAACTAAATGAAAGTTCAAACAAGCCCGTAACGTAATTCTTCGGGCTCAAAATGTATGATTAATATTGTCTTTCGAATTCATAGTGCAACTCGATATGATTTTTACTTTATGAAATTGGTACTGAATTGCTTAACCTCTGCTTGGTTTAGATAAATTTCGATAAAAAATGACGAATTATTTCATTGAAAATTTCTGTTGATCGACTTTTATTCGTGACCAGGTGGCAAAATCAATGGAGAAAATAATCACACAATCAATAACCATGCCAAACGACCCAAGAAGGAAAGAACTGGACCAGCTGGAAAATCAAAAGGCCTTGATTGACCAAAAAGCCCAATCCCTTGTTCGTGGGGAACTCTATTGTGGGCTGGGCTTTTTGGTCCTCCAAACATTGGGCTTTATGAGGCTCACTTTTTGGGTTGATTCAACCCTACACTACCTCGGGATTTGCTTCTTTGTCACCTCTCTTCACTTTGCACTTGCCTATGCCTTCTTTTTGAGGACATCAAAGGAGCCCACTTTCGAAGGCTATTTTCAGCGACGGTTCAAAGTAAAGCAAAAGAAGCTTATGAAAATTCACAACTTTGATATTGAGAAGTACCATGAACTACGTGAAGCCTTTTATCCTCACTACTCGAAACTAGAACACTGCAGAAACGTTGCACTATACGGCGATCATGCACGAGGAGCACTTTTTAGTTGTGTGCACGGTTGAGTTGTATACATAGACGATAGGATGACTTCAAGTTAATATAAACGGACTATGATATTGACCTTTGTATTTGTATAGACTGAATTAAGTTTAAGTAGTCTTCTTGAATTGTGGTACTTGCTACATGGAGAATTTCGAGTCAAATGTGAGAAGTGATTTTAATAAAGCTTCTAGATTTCTTAATTGAATCCTTCAATGATTGTAGGCAACCATTATTCCTCTTCAAATTCGTTCAAGTCTTGAAAAATTTCTTGTACTTTTACCCCAAGAATTGTTCTCTAATGATATGTGATGGTGTATCATGTATTATAAAGTCTTCTTTTTTACATTACGAGGGTTTTCTAATGTAGAGTTCTTCAAAAGACCGAAAAACATGTGCTTTGAAAATTCTAAAATCCCAAAAAATAAGTTGCCAAAACGAACCAAGAATCCAAAATTCAGGTGTGGCTGCTTTTAATTCTTCGTCCTAAGCGCCAGGTGCAATATATACTACCGCGACCTGATTTCGAATGCACGTAACTTTTTGCATTGAACTCCAAATTTACTTAGGATTCGTTTGATTGTAAAGATGAAAAATTGGTGAAAAGAAAATGTTTTACAGGGAATTGATTTGCCTAAAAATTGTTTTATTGGGAATTGTAATTAATTGTGTTCGATTGGTATAATTTTTCATGGAAAATGTTGAAAATTTGGTGTCCGTTTGACTTCGTTTTTTATGGAAATTGTCTATTAAAATGATAATGTTTTCTACCATTTGGTCTAGAATTTGTTCCAATTGCCAAAAAAAAATTTGAAAAAAAATAACTATATCGAATATCATTCGTTTGGCTTTGCTTTGCATGGAAATTGTCAATAAAATTGAAATTTTTTTACCATTGTGTGTAGAATTTTTTCCAATTGCAAAAAAAAAAAAATAAAATAAAATAAAAAAAGCTGGAAAACAGAATTCCTACCAAAACCAAAAGAAAAGGAATTCCATGAAAATGAGAAAAAAATATTTACCTACCAAAACATCAAGAATTTATTTTCCTGAAAAAGGTGGAAAATTTGGGATGTTGAAAAATATTTTCCAGGGAAAATTTTGTCTATCAAACACTACAAAAGTTGGAAAATAGAAAAAAAAATTCATGAAAAATGTGTGCTATCAAACGATGACTTATTGTTTAAATAGTATTGCCTTGTGAATATTTACGTAGCAAGTTTTGATCTCTAATTTTTTAACGTCCTCTGAATAGGTTCCTCATTCTACTTCATGGGCCTTCGATTATTTGATCCATCACTTCAACTCTTATTACTTCTAACTATCCTGTTCTTCTAGATTTCATTCAAATTTTGATTTCTTTTACTTTTCACCTTCAATTTTTGATTTATTCCAAATCTTCTCCAAATGACCGTTTTAGTCCTCAAAATTTATGAAATCCGCAAATTGAACTTCCAAGTCTTCCACTCAAGTTCTTGAACTTCCTGGCAATCTTGCAATTCCATCCTTCATCTCAATTAAGCTCCAAAAATCTTCATTTTGATTGATTCAACTTAAAGTCGGAGTTTTCACCTAAGATAACAAAATGCACACGACTATGAGTGAAAATCCGCCTAAGTAGTTATATAAATTGATAATATATTGACATAAATCAATCGTGATAAATTTTCTTTTACTATTTTAATTTATCGAAGGCCATGCTGCATTAAAATAGCATCAAAGTACTTATCTACAACTCATTAAGATTTTATAGTGTTACCCTTACTTTGCAGCAATTTTTACAGTTATTTTAATTCAGTCTTTGCAGCACGAGAGAAGTAACATAGTACTCGAATGATTCGCACGTTCTATGTGCTCTAGACATGTCTAGACATATCACAAAATTTATCATTCATTATCACAAAAATTGGGTCAAGATCACATTTAAAAGTTACACATTTGCATGATAAAAAGTACTTTCTGGTTCCCAACCACCACTAACTAGCAAGTTGTAACTAGGTGCTAACAAATGGTGGGACACTTGCACGATCTCGTTATAATTTATATTTGCTGGTGAACAACCAAGCAAATCACAAAATAACATCTTCAGATTAAATATATGTAATCTAATTTGACTACCTAATTAAGGCCTTTTTAGTAATGTTGTTATTTTTGCTTCTACTTCTTGCAAGAGTTTTTTCCTGAAAAAGTTAGAACATGTTCTCTTTACCACTTTCAAGCTATTTTTTGTTTTCAATTTTTCAAAACAGTGAAAACGCGTTTTTGAAAACCAGTTAAAAATTTACAAAGAAAATCCAAAATTTGTCATTTTGGGTATTTTCAGTTATAATCAAGCCAAAATTTTCAAAACACGTTTTGTATGTTTTCAAAATGCAAAAAAAAAAAAAAAACACATTTTCAACAATCTCAAAATAGACACGCAAAATACAAAACTCAAAAT